GGAGCACATAAGGAGCTATCTATTTTTGGGGATTTTATAACCACCGTGATCTTTAGCTTCGTCAATTGAGTTAGGTACCTTAGTTCCTCAACTTTTTCCATATTATTAATGTTCAAGCCCACCAATGTTTGCAGATCTTTGAAATTTCTCAACACTCCAAGTTTCATCCTAGTATCATATTTTTCAAAAGGATAAAAAGAAGAGATTAGATTTCCCATTTGAAGATGGCAAAGTTGTTGAAGTTTCGCAACTGATGAATATAGCCTGTCTATTCCAGTTCCACGTATATCCAGTTTTACCAAATTATGAAGCTTACCTAAGGACTTGGAGAAGGTAGAATTTATTTTTTTATGATAATAACTTAGATAAGTTCCTTTCAGGCTCAAGTATCGAAGATGCCTTAACTTAGAAAGAATTCGTAGGAAGCTTCCTTTTTCTGCTTCAAGGTCAAATTGATAATATTCGAACACCAAGACTCTTAGTAATTTGAATCTTAGAAGCAAGGCTGGGATCTTTTCATAATCATAAATTGACAATGATGTAACATGTGATAGGTCAATGTTATCTGGAATGCATCTAATTTGATTCCTTTCTCTTTGAAGAGATAATCGTCGAATCACATTTTCACCTCGAAGACTTACTCTGCTATGCTTACCATGAATTGAAACCATATTTTCCTCCATTGACTTGAAGATAATAACTTCAAGCATGATATCATGAATTCGACAGCTTTTCACCTTCCCATTCAAACCCACTTCTGACGGCATGATAAGACTTCTACTAACTAGCTCATTGAAATAATACTCTGCCACATCCTCTACACTCATGGCATATTGGTTATTCACTAGCCTTTCAGCTACCCAGAGTTGAATCAAATTCTTGCGGTTGATGAGATGGTCCTCTGGAAAGATGCTAAGATAGAGAAAACAAGGCTTGAGAAGGTATGGGAGGTGATTGTAGCTAAGAAGCAACACCTGTTTCATTCCTTCAAGACTTGGATTAGTTTCAAGCACCGAGGATAAGTTCTTTAGCAAGTTAGTCCATTGATGATGTTCATCGGGGGTTGGCATACTTTTGAGAACACCGGCCATTGCAACAATTGCAAGTGGTAGTCCACCACATTTTTTAACAACATCATTAGCCACCTTCTCTAGATGCTCCGGGCAACGCTTACCGGGACCAAACACTCTCTTTTGGAACAAATCCATTGACTTTTCGTTTGAGAAAAGCTGCAGCTTGTAGACATAGTCATCCCCACCAGCATCGGTACAACAATTTTTTGCAACTTC